GGTAGGTGCACTTAACCTCTGCAGTGCCTGGGTAGGTGCACTTAACCTCTGCAGTGTGGGGTAGGTGCACTTAACCTTTGTAGTGCCAGGGTAGGAGCACTTAACCTCTGCAGTGGCGGGGTAGGAGGATATAACCTTTGCAGTGCGGGGTAGAAGCACTTAACCTTTGCAGTGCTGGGTTAGGAGCACTTAACCTTTGCAGTTCCGGGGTAGGAGGATATAACCTTTGCAGTGCGGGGTAGAAGCACTTAACCTTTGCAGTGCCGGGGTCGGAGCACTTAACCTTGCAGTGCCCGGGTAGGAGCACTTAACCTTTGCAGTGCCAGGGTAGGTGCACTCAACCTTTGGAGTGCCGGGGTAGGTGCACTTGACCTTTCGAGTGCCGGGTAGGTGCACTTAACCTTTGGAGTGCCGGGGTAGGTGCACTTAACCTTTGCAGTGCCGGGGTAGGTGCACTTAACCTTTGCAGTGCCGGGGTAGGAGCACTTAACCTTTGCAGTGCCGGGGTGGAAGCACTTAACCTTTGCAGTGCCGGGGTAGGAGCACTTAACCTTTGCAGTTCCGGGGTAGGAGGATATAACCTTTGCAGTGCGGGGTAGAAGCACTTAACCTTTGCAGTTCCGGGGTAGGAGGATATAACCTTTGCAGTGCCGGGGTGGAAGCACTTATCCTTTGCAGTGCCGGGGTAGAAACACTTAACCTTTGCAGTGCCGTGGTAGAAGCACTTAACCTTTGCAGTGCCGGGGTCGGAGCACTTAACCTTGCAGTGCCCGGGTAGGAGCACTTAACCTTTGCAGTGCCAGGGTAGGTGCACTTAACCTTTGGAGTGCCGGGGTAGGTGCACTTGACCTTTCGAGTGCCGGGTAGGTGCACTTAACCTTTGGAGTGCCGGGGTAGGTGCACTTGACCTTTCGAGTGCCGGGTAGGTGCACTTAACCTTTGGAGTGCCGGGGTAGGTGCACTTGACCTTTCGAGTGCCGGGTAGGTGCACTTAACCTTTGGAGTGCCGGGGTAGGTGCACTTGACCTTTCGAGTGCCGGGTAGGTGCACTTAACCTTTGGAGTGCCGGGGTAGGTGCACTTGACCTTTCGAGTGCCGGGTAGGTGCACTTAACCTTTGGAGTGCCGGGGTAGGTGCACTTAACCTTTGCAGTGCCGGGGTAGGAGCACTTAACCTTGCAGTGCCCGGGTAGGAGCACTTAACCTTTGCAGTGCCAGGGTAGGTGCACTCAACCTTTGGAGTGCCGGGGTAGGTGCACTTGACCTTTCGAGTGCCGGGTAGGTGCACTTAACCTTTGGAGTGCCGGGGTAGGTGCACTTAACCTTTGGAGTGCCGGGGTAGGTGCACTTAACCTTTGCAGTGCCGGGGTAGGAGCACTTAACCTTTGCAGTTCCGGGGTAGGAGGATATAACCTTTGCAGTGCGGGGTAGAAGCACTTAACCTTTGCAGTGCCGGGGTAGGAGCACTTAACCTTGCAGTGCCCGGGTAGGAGCACTTAACCTTTGCAGTGCCAGGGTAGGTGCACTCAACCTTTGGAGTGCCGGGGTAGGTGCACTTGACCTTTCGAGTGCCGGGTAGGTGCACTTAACCTTTGGAGTGCCGGGGTAGGTGCACTTAACCTTTGGAGTGCCGGGGTAGGTGCACTTAACCTTTGCAGTGCCGGGGTAGGTGCACTTAACCTTTGGAGTGCCGGGGTAGGTGCACTTAACCTTTGGAGTGCAGGTATTTCCCCAGAGTTCTGCTGTAAATCTGCCGGGAGTTCAGCTTTAAAAAGGAACTTTCAGAATTATCACTGAAAATGACAGCAGGGTGCAAGTGCATTGTGGTAATTACACTTATCTCTGTGTTATCCTTTTATCTGCAAAAGGCCAGCACAGAGGTGTTTGCATGCCAAGTATTGTAGACCTGTTATTGCTTCTTCTTGTAGTGACACTAAACTCAGGAGATAAACCTTATTTGTGTATCACTCGGCTGTAGATCCTCAAATCATCTCTGAATTGGTGCCGACACTGTCCTTCCTTCTGGAGGGGGGCTACTTTTGTTCCCATGGTCCCTGTGTGTGTTGTAAAGTAGTCACCGCTCCAAGCTCGCTCTCGTGATGGACTACATGTTTAGATTAATAATGATTGTAGTCCATCACAGGAGCGAGCTTGGAGCGGTGACTACTTTACAACACACACAGGGACAATGGGGAACAAAAGCAGCCACCCTCCAGAAGGAAGGACAGTGTCAGCACCCATTCAGAGATGATTGGAGGATCTACAGCTGAGTGATACACAAATAAGATACATTGTTGATAATAGTTAAGGTACTTGAATGTGTTTTATGAGAGTTAACTCCTGAGTTTAACATTTGTAAATGGAAGTAACTTTATCACATAAAGTAACTTTATGACTTTTTAAAACATAATTTTTGTGTAAATTCCCTTTTTGCATTTTAACTGTGCTGGCATGGACTCCATGTTCATTTTCTTTGATCTGTTGCTCTTTTGTTTAGTACAATAACATCAAAGTGTGGGATGTGTACATTGCTGTAGGTTGAACTTGGCAGCACATCTGTGCTCAGTTACCAGTGATGGCCACTAGATGGCACACAGTGATTAGACCAGCAGACTGGAACCAACAGTTCCCAAAAGTTCCCAAAAGTTGGCGGGGTTGAATTGCTAAAGGCAATTTGGCTGCAAGGAGATTTTCCCATAGCTTAGTGAAAGAGGTGAAGCTCTGCTGACTTCCATTATCCATTCCCATGCAAGCAAAAATTCTGTTTGTTTTATTTTTCTTACATAAGATTGGGTATTCTTTACAAATTGAATATCCACCACATTTACTAAGCTAAGGGAAAATTCCCTTGCAAAGTGAGTTGTCCACCCTGCCCAGAGTGTTAAATGCCCGTGTCCCCTGCCATGCATTGCTGTTCCATCCTCCGACCATTATGCCACTGGGGAGTCCTGTAGTAAAGCAAGGGTCAGAGGAAGGAACCGTGGCATGCAAAAGGGAACACAGGCATCCTACACACCTGGAAGTGTCCAATACAAAGTGTCTGGCAGAGGCTGCAGCATTGGAAAGAAGGGATTATAGAAGACAGGGGCTGACAGAAAGGAGTAGTATATTACATCTTCCACTGCAGAAACCTGCTTTTTGTATTTTTTTAGGTAACAAAATGGGTCTCTTTTATGTGTGACGCTGGCCATACCATGCTCGAATTTCAAATTCGACTGGAACTGTGCTAACAGGGCCACAAACAAATCAGCCAGACTTGGATGAGGTGCGTGTGGCCCTGTTGGCACCACTCCGTTCCACAAAAGTTGATTTTTGAATTGACTTTTGTAGATGGAGTCGGGCCAAAATGTATTGGCTGAACATTGAGTGTAGCCAATCAGCTGTGAGAGCCTGTTGTCCCAGCAGGGGAGATGCATCCATCCACAAGTGGGCTGAATGTGTATGGCCAGCTTAACTCTCAGAAAGCATACCTACCATTACAAATGGCACAAGAATAAGTAGCTAATATACTGAAATGTGGTTCAAAGTTGTGGCTTAGATCAGGCAGAGTTAAGGGGTCATCCACGTCATAAAACGCATTATAGAATGAATTAGCCCAATGCACAGTAACTCAATATAGATGTGTGTTGCCATTCATGGTTAATTGCACATCAGCAGTGCCCTGCAATGCACTTGCATTATAGCATGTCACAACGCACAGATGCATTGCACTCCAAAAAACTGTGCAAGATCTATTTTTTGTGCATTGAGGTACATTAAAAAGCTCATTCAAAATGAATGTGCGCACTGCAGCACACTGTGTTATAGCGTGAATGATCCCTAAGAAACTCTCACCTTGCCCATGCAGGGCAAAGTGACAGTGTCTCTATAAAGCCCTCCCACCTGAACCCCTTATACTCATGCCTGCACTCCCTCTCTGCTGCTTCCTTCAACTCAGCCGCCACTGAAATCAGCAGTGTCACTGACCAGGGGGAACAGTGACGTCACTCACTCAGTTACAGTGCTCAGGTCTAGTGATGGCTGCTAGGCCCTTACACTGTCACAGGAGTTCACAGACATCCCAACTCTCCCGGACGCTCCGGGAGTCTCCCACTATTATATAGCGGCTCCTGGCCGCCCGGGAAAAAAACATTTTCCACCCGGAAAGGTTGCTATATGTAGCAAAGTAATCCTTTCCCTGCAATCTGTTTTTTGTTGTTTTTTTTCTGACATCGGGGCCACCGTCAGAGAAAAAAAACAAACAAAACAGCATAGGAATGCATAGCTAGATTGCTATTGGCTATTTCACTTTGCAATAGCCAATAGCAGACCAGCTGTTGCACTCGCCCACTGCTGCTGTCACTCAGCACAGGGGGGCCTGAAGTTCTCCATCAGGTCCTCTTCTAGTGATTGACAGCAGCAGAGGGCGTGTGCAATAGCCAGCTTGCTATTGGATATTGCAAATTGAAATAGCCATGCATTCCTATGCTGTTTTCTTTTTATGCTGACGCCAGCAGCTGTCAGAATATAAAAAAAAAAACACAGCGTAAGGGCACCTCCCTGAAATTGCTTTTTTCAGGTTGGGATCCCTGAGTTCACATGTTGTCCCATACCTGGAAACGCCAGGCAGTGTCACTGGCTGTGATAGAGAAAGGAGTGGTGGGGGAACGGTGGTAAGCGAGGGAAAATCAGCAGTGGCTAATAAAAACTTAACACAAGTCTTAATCGTTCCCCTCTTTATCCAAAACTGAAACAAGGTTTTGCCCAGAGTTGTGCTTCAGTAGCACAGGTATTAATCTGACATTGAAACTCCACTGATTAATTTTTGATGACCACTGCAGTAGCCAATGGAATACGAACTATATACGAAAATGTAGTATAACCGAAACCCTGTAGCAGATTTATTAAGAAGAAGAAAAACAATTCCAAAAACCTGCATAAAAGAAGAAAATAAATAAAGTATAAATATACATTAAATATTGGGCATCGCCCAGCTTGTTTTCTGATTCAATACCAGCACAACTCCCAGTCAATGGGAATAAGATCTGTCCTGCAGTGTGTCTATTATATGGAGCCCACTGTGTGTCGAGCAGTCCTTATCCAAAGGCAGGTCCCGGGAATTGTGGTTTTGTGGGTAAGTACTGTTGTCACTTTTGGTGTTGAAGGATAATTGTCTTCTCCAAACACTCATTGCCTTACAGATGTCCTTCCTGACATTTTCACTGACCAGGACGTAGATGAAAGGATCAGCCACGCTGTTTACCGTGACCAGACAAAGAAATATAGAATAGACTGTGTAAATCTTTTCTTCAAAATCACAGAAGTCGTCCTTTAAGAAATAAGCAATTCCTCGCGTGAGCAGCACCAGGTGGTACGGAGCAAAGCAGATCATGAAGATGATGATGATAGCAACAGCCAAATACTTGACTTTGGTTTTTTGAAAGCTGGTGAAGCTGCCGCTGGTCTTGATCCTTCTTTGGATGATATAGTTGGTGTACATCAGGGTCAACAAGGGGACCAGGAAGCCAATGATAAACCTGGCAACATAAAAGTGAGCAATGTGTGACGGTACTGGTAAAGTTTCAAAACAGGTGGTCTGGTTTCCTGTTTGATCACCATCACTGAGCATGAATACCGGAGCATGCACCAGTGCCACCATGCTGCAAATAGTGATGGTAACGCCGATGGCAATTTTCTGGCGTCGAACTCCTCTGGACTCCAAGGCGTATTCCACAGCCAAGTAACGATCCACAGAGATACAGCACAAGAGGAGAATGCTTATGTATATGTTGTTGAAGAATATAAAGCCTGTGATCTTGCATGCTAAAGGGCCCCACTGCCACACGTGGCCATTTTGTACATAGAGGATCCAAAGAGGAAGAGTTCCAAGATACATGATTTCGCTTAGGGACAAGCTGAATAGGTACACTGCTAGAACGTTCTTCCTATAGATTTGAAGAAATGTCAACCAAAAGGTCAAAATATTCGCTGGGAGACCGATAACCAGGACAATGCTGTACATGACAATGACAAAGAACTTGCTGTCGTTATACGGAGGCAGGCACTGTGACTCAGGGATGGAGTTGTTGGATGAGTTCACCATTGTGAGGTTTAGATTTCCAGAGACATTCATTTTCAGCTACTGGAAAAGAGAACATGACAGAAAATAAAATATGGTAAAATCTCTGGCAAGTCTCCAGGAACCCACTGGAAGGAAAGCCATGAGCAAATCCTTTTAGAAGGCCCCAAAAACCATTAAATACTAAACTGTGGGTAGCACAACAATCAAGCACTTTCAATACAAGTAACACATTTATATCGTAATTTCCCAATATCCATTAAACCAGACCACCAGATATTGAGGCAACCCTGTTAATCTCTTAAATAATTCCAAATACCACAGTTTCATCCTCTGACCTGTACATCAAACAAGACACAGCAGTGACGTAGGAATGAAAGGATGGAACCACAGCTCCCCATGTGTGGTGCACAGGCATCTTACATTCCAGGAAGTGTCTAATGCTGAGGAATCTAAAGGAGGCTACAGAGTCTGAACAAAGAGAAGGTAGGAGACACTGGCTGCTGGGCAGGTGACTGTAATAATAGTAACTCTTCTATTGAAGGGGATCTCTATCTGAAATTGTTTAAGTAACTACCAGGTCCTCCTTAAATCATAGAGGTATACCAATAATTATATATATATAAAAAAATATATAAAACTCCAATAGCCATGGATGCCTGCCATGTATGTACATTTTTACCTTGTTTCAGCGAGCATTCAGACGAACAGTACCCAGCCCAGTTTGTTAATCATTACCTGCAACAGGCCAAGCTGTCCAGCAAAAGAGATTGTTACATTGGCTGGGACAAACTGTATAATACTGCTTACAGCTTTTATGTATATGGTTTAAAAAAGAACTATGGGGTAACCTTTTTTCCCCATAGTTCTCTTCAGGGTCACAGGAGGATATATACTAACCTCCTCCCGTGACCCAATGCTCAGTATATAGCGAGCTATTGACGCTATATACTGAGATCGCCACAGCCGGGACGGATCCCAACAATACTGTTGAGATCCACCACGTTGGCTGATTGACAGCTGGCTCTGCCTATCTAGAGGCAGAGCCAGCTGTGCCTGCCCCCTCCCCGTTTGTTCCCCCAGTCAGCGCTGGAAGATTGGAGAGGGGGGATATCCCTTCGGGGAGCGGTGACTGAGAGTTAACGCTCTCTGCAGGGAGACGATCGGGAAGTCAGCGCTCCGCGTATGTGTTCGCTGACTTCCCGATCTATAGAGCCAACCTGTGACAGCTTCATTGTCACAGGTCGGCTTGAATTATGGGGATGAGTGTTTTTCACTCGCCCCATAATTCTCCTGTCATTAAACCTTTTTTTTTAAAAACCTGTTGCTGCACCTTCCTAAAAAAATGTTACAGGGGCACTCAGAAAAACATGATAGACTGTGATATACTGTATATGTATTTTTTTACTCTGCCCACGGTTCCACTTTCATTGTATTAGTAAAGCTTCGGCAGTCATGGCTATTTTAGTACATTGGTTAGGCATATAAAAGAACAACAACACATCTGTCAGACATTTGTGTGTAGAATTCATAGAAATACAAAGGTAAGAAATAAACTGAAACCGCAGCTGTTATTTTCTCATACTGTGGGCTTGGAAGGTATTTTGTTCGAATTACGTTACATCAGTACTACAGCAACCACAGCTATGGGGGTGACATGAAGGCCTAACGTACTATCATGACTATCTAAGGGCTTTATTTATACTGTCAGATGAGGCCAAATTAGGGCACAATTTAGGCTACATTTCTTATTTGAAAGTGCAGCTAATTATTATTGACAATCAACAATTCATCAATTATTTTAATTTTAGAAAATTATATATTATATAAAATTACTGGTATGGCAAATGTAACATTGGCTGTATTATAATTATGGTGAGCTGGATTTCCCATTGAAGAATAGAAAATCCAGCAACAGGAAAAAAACTTGATTGGGAGAGTGTATGGAAAAATCCAGCTGATGAAGGTGATATAAATGGATTCCCTTCACTTCCTCTCCAGGTGACAGGTGTCAGACAGAACAAGAAGAGGGGGAGATCTCCCCAAACAAGTCACAGACCCTTTTATTTAAGATTTAATCTGTGGGAATACAATAGACTACCAAGTACGGTGTTTCTGCCTTTTCTCCTTCACTGTTTAGTGCTAAATTACAGGTACTCTTTAAAGCCCAACTCTAGGTTCAGGGTCTCTTTCCCCGGTTTGTGCACCCCCCTTTCCTTGAACTTCCCACCCCGGTTTTCCAGGTGTCTTCAGCCCCATCCAGTGACATTAAAGGTATTTTTCTTCTTCTTTTAAGTTGGTAGATCCTAAATTCTTCTGTGGTTCCAGGGTAGGGGGCGGGTCCATGACACCCTGGGCTCACAAGAAATGTGTTAAAAGATGCTGGTTGTCAATCGGCCCAGAAGAGGAACAATTGGGCTGATTAGTGGGTGAGTCTGCAGGGGACAACACCAGAGATAGTGGGAATGAAGCTGGAACTGTTTTTTTTAATCTTTAACTACAATTGGCCAACATAATTTTTTCATTCTTTTCCCACACTTAAATTGGGGTCCAACTCCTCAAAGAAAAAAGATTATTTTGCTTTGGATAAAGTGGGGAAGGGTGAGATACTCTGTCAGTTTTTTCCCATCATCTGTGCCCCTATTGTTAAGACATGCCCTCACTTCCTGTCAGGACAGGAAATGATGGGAAATCTCTACAATGGGGACATCGACAAAAACACATTTTAAGTAGAAAGGGGAAAGTCTAACAGGGTTATTCACAAAAGATTGAAGAGTTTGGAGAAGGCAGGAGAAGTGAACAATCTAGGACAACATAGCTGAACTGGAAAGTGAGCTGAATTGGAGAATTTTTCTGAATCAGCTATTTTGGCCTAGATTGGTCACTTCTCCTGCCTTCTCCAAACTCTTCACCCTTTTGTGAATAGCCCTGTAAAAAACTTCGGCCAAAGTTTTATTTTTTGCTGTCTGTGTCATCCTGTCTTGGAGACAACTTCACCCTCCTGCCATCTCTTCGACAGCTATGACAAGAACAGGAAATGAGGACAAATCCTCTTGATGGGGACACCGACATAACAAACTGACAGAAACTATAACTACTTCTCACTCTATCCAAAAATAGAAAAACAGGGCTGGTGCTAGACCTTTTAGCTGTATATTAAAGAAGAACTCCAGGAATTTGTTTTATTAACCCTTGCAGTGGGATTATCCCAGCTTTTGCAAGGGTTAGTGCTCATTTTTTGTCTTAGGTGCTAAAATAACAAAGTTATACTCACCCGAAGCTGTGTATAGACATTATGATTTACGGGACCTTAGACCGCTGCAGAGGAGGGGAGAAGACAAGTTGGAAGAATCGGTCCAAGAAGATCTTAGCTCGGAGCTTTGGGTGAGTATAACTTTTTTTTTAAACCTAGACACAAACAAGCAGTTAACCCTTGCAGTTTGTGGGTAACCCTATTGCAAGTGCTAATAAAATAATTTCCTGGAGTACTTCTTTAGGCCAGGTTCACACATGGGCGATCCGTGACCGGATTGCAGCATGGTCACGGAGTTGCCCACCAGCGACGATCACGCTGGCGGTGCCATTTTTTTCTAATGGCACCCCAGTCACGTTGGGAGTCGCAAAAAAAGTACACGTACCTTTTTTCTGCGATTGCCGCGCATATGTACCCCATGGACGCGCCTCCCCGATCGCCCAGGTCTGCACGGGCCCTTAAGCCCGTCACAACCTCCTTAAAAAGATATACAGTGTCAGCCCTATGCAGCAGTGAAATTTGTCCTGGTTTTTCCTCTAGGATCATTACATGATGGACAGTGTCAGGAAGGAATTGGAATGACTTTATCACAATATTATTTGTATATTCACAAGAGCCAACACTAACAAGAAAATGACATCGCTGTTTGTTTTACAAAGATGACCTTAAAAGCAGCAGCGCAGTTGAAACTGAAATATTACAGACCTCCCAAGATTATTTTATTATTTATACTATAATAAACCTTGAGGGATATAGAAATAAAATAACTCCGCTGGAAACTATTGGCCACGTAACACCATTGGGAGAAAAAAAACTACAACCCGTTCTGAGAAAAAGTTCTTCTATAAGACAAATGCAGGACGCGTTCAGGTGCGCCCAGCTTGCATATTGGAATATTTTTAGGTATTTTTAGTTCAAGTATTGCTTCTGACCTTCTTTTTTTCCAATAAAGTTTATATTTGATGTTTTCACACCACTAATTTACATAAAACAATTGAATAGGCGTTTTCCCATTAGGGTGTATGCAGGGGCGTCTCTAGCATTTCCGCCGCCCCAGGCTCCTCATCTCCCCCAGCTCTGGACAGCATCCTGCCCAGTGACGTTACTGGTCGCCAGAAGCTGGGTGGGACGCTGGTCAGAGCATCCCAGGTTGTTAAGAGCTGGGCGGGGAGCTGTACATGGCCCTTACACATCTCCTCACTGTAAAGGGGGGGGGGGGGCAGTTTTTTAAAGAAATTTCAAATGCTGGCCGTGATCTCCTGTTTCAGGGTGATTCCTTTCCCTTGCTGAGTTCTATGGAGCCACCCTTCTGTGCTATTAAGCTGTGTGTGTCACTTTAATGACACTTTAAAGTCACTTTAATGACCATATGCGTGTCACATTGTAAAACGATGTTTCGGAAACTTGTTGTCCCTTCATTAAGCTTTGTTTGCCTGAAGAAGGGACAACAAGATTCTGAAACGTCGCTTTACAATGTGACACGACTATGGTTAATAAAGAAGATTGACTAAGAATTGAATTGGCGTGCGAGTGACTTTCTACCGAGTCCACAAATTCACAGACACAGCAAGGCAAGACACCCTCCTGCTCCCCCTTCCTCGCTTCTCCAAGCTAGGAGATGGATGGCTGCTGGAGACTGTTCCGTCTAGGAAGTTCAGTGAAGCTGAATTTGGTGTCACCCGGAGCGGAGAGCCGGTGACACCCCGCCGTGACGTCATTGCACATGCACGCCCATCTAATTGACGCCTGCCAACGGGAATCTTGGTGATGGACGCCGGCAGAGA